CTAATGTGCTAGTATACCTTGTGGATACCTATAGCCAAGAGAATTAATGTGCTAGTATACCTTGTGGATACCTATAGCCAAGAGAATTAATGTGCTAGTATACCTTGTGGATACCTATAGCCAAGAGAATTAATATGCTAGTATACCTTGTGGATACCTATAGCCAAGAGAATTAATGTGCTAGTATACCTTGTGAATACCTATAGCCAAGAGAAGCATGTACAAGATCTTTCGTAATCGTTCAGGATTTGTTAGTAATGCAGCCAATGATGATGTGTTTCATCTGGTTTAAACCAACTTCTGCTAATGTCAACTGATTTCGGACTTAGCCATAATTCCAATTTATCCAGTTCTTGTATTCAACAACAATAGTTTTAGTTATCACAATCTGATTTGTTATATCTTCTTTTTTACCGCCATAAATAACTGGAATTTTGTTATCGTGTGAGTATATTTTCATGTTCTTCATGGTCACTTAACTGATAAGCAGTAAAAGTTACAGACCATAACCAGTAATTCTCTGAAAGACAGTATCATTGAAGTGAAAATAAAGTAGAATTTGCAGTAGCTAATAACAAGTTCGTAAAGTCCTTAACTTCAGTTTTTTATTTTAATATTAATTATTCAACATTGATTCAGCACCTTCATAGTTGGCTGTAATTTGAATGGAATGGTCTTTAATTATTCAACATTGATTCAGCACCTTTATAGTTGGCTGTAATTTGAATGGAATGGTCTTTAATTATTCAGTAAGTCACAAGTTTAATATCTGGGTGGTTATTCGTCCGTGATATAGGTTATTATTTGCTATTTTTGAAACTTTTGGTTTCTTGCAACACATATGACAATTATTGAAATTTTTATGGTTATCTTACGCCCAACTTCAGATTATTCATTCATTTTTAATCCGTATTTACTTTGAAACACATTTCACATTGGAACCTAACGATTCTGCTCATGTGCGTGTGATGCTTAACTGAAACAACGTGTGCTAACCTGTAATTCTTCCATTTTTAGCGTGGCTTGTATTGGCTAGTTGAGGCAGTGAATTTGTGAGTAGTATTTATACATCATTTATTTTAGTGCTGTTGTTACGTGTGGCATAGTATATGGTGTTGTTTTTACATAACAAAAAGAAAAAAAAACACCAGCCATATGTTCTATTAACGATTTGTTTGTGAAGCCCCTCCTTCCCCTAGTGACTCGGCGGTTTGCCTGCGGACTTACAACGCTAAAAAACGAGTTTCCATACCTGTGGTGGGCATTGCACAGATAGCCCATTGTGTAGTTTTGTGCTTAATTACAAATGAAAAAAAACGCTTGTGAATTTCGTGCAAAGCTACTCAAGGACCATCTGTACTAGCCGCCTCTAATTTAAAAGTGATAGACCAGAGGGAAGTCAATACTACCCACCACTAACTCTTAGACTACTTTTACCAACGAATAATGAGATTGACTGTTGAATTATAACATCCCTATGGTTGAAAAGGCAAGCATGCTCGGTGACGAGAAGTGCAGATTGTGAATCGAGTTATTATATTTCTATGTATTTTTAATGTTAGGTTATTTTGCTATATACTACTAGTCATTCCCATTGGTGCACTCAAAGTAAGATTAAGTTTTATAAAAGAAAAATATGCATATTTTGTATTAGAATGTGTAACCTGTGCATCATACGTGTAGTGCACCGATAGTAATGACAGTTAAAATATGCTAAAGCAGCCGCTACCAATTTTGTTGAAGGAAGTTTGTAAACTTGATTTGGAAGAGTGCCATCTGTAACATTCTTTCCACTATAGACACATCAAGTTACAAACTTGCTAAATTCCTTGTACCTTTACTTCAGCCACTCACTACTACTGAATATACTATCCCGGATTCCTTCCACTTTGAACGTGAACTAAGTCCACTACCCCCCTCAGATAATCTCTTCATGGCGAGCTTTGATGTTACCTCCCTCTTTACAAATATTCCCTTAAATGAAACTATTAACATATGCATATCTGAGCTTTCGCGTAATAACATTCCTCTAAATGGCTTTTCTGAAAATCAAATTAAGACCATGCTGGATCTTGCCACTAAGAATTCACATTTCCTGTTCAACAACACCTTGTATGAACAAATAGATGGCGTTGCGATGGGCTCCCCCACTAGGTCCAACTTTAGCTAATGCATTTCTCTCTCATTACGACAGCCGACTTCGCCAAAGTAATTGTCAGAAACGTCTTCGTTGTTTTAGTTTGTATATTCGCAGCCAGTTAGTTCATTGATGACAGTAAAACATTCGCACGCATTGCAATAAAAAGGCAGAAGAGCCGCGAAAAAAATAACGTTGTATTAATAAATAAACGTTTCAAGTTAATGTGTGCATAACTTCTTAATTTGAACGTTTAGAAATGCTTTACTACCAACACTGTCTTCGCGGAGAAGTATTTGAATACGTACTAACTCAGAGGTAAGTTAAACGAGAAAAACGAAAGCTTACAAAAACACTGTACGTCAAATTATGTTAGAGAGCAAAAAGTAGGTTTACCTCACGATAGACATGCTGTAATCAGGCCATCTCAGAGGTTCAGAGAGGCCCAGACCACTTCTATCTTTTGAGGCCCCTGGTTATAATAAAAAATGATTGGACATGAAAATAAAACAATCGCTAGCCCAAGAGAAACGTAATTTGAATTTTTTATTTAACATATGTTTATTAACATTAATTACCATTTAATAAATACTTTTTTTTTCTGTGCATAAAAACAAGTCTAGAAACTTAACAAATGCAAAAAATAACAATTGTCTAGATTTG